CCCCCCCCCCCCCCCCGTGAGGAGGGCACGCTCCAAGCCTTCCCTGGCCCAGCAGGGTGGGGCTGCGGGGGCCACGGGGGGGTGGCTGCCCTTTGCTTCCTGAGCCAGGAGAGTGGCCCATCTTCCAGCACTCGCAGGGTCTTTCTCCTACCCGGAATAAACGGTTTCCTTCTTCTTGTCTCTCCAGCCTCCTTTCTGTTCCTTTCTGTGGGGGGGGGGGCTTCCTCAGAGGGCTGCTGCAGAGCCCCCTGCCCGGGGCAGACGCCAGCAGCACCTTCGCCGCCTCGCCTCTTCCATGCGCCTGCCTGGCAGGCCGCCTGTGGCCGCCCCGTCTTGGGGTGCGGTGGCCCCTTCTCCCAGGACAAGCCAGCTGGAGCCGGGGGTCAGACTAGATGGCCCGGGGCCCTCCTGACTCACTCTGCCTTTGTGTTTCTATGTTTCCTATCTTGCTGCAAATGCTGAGATAGCAGTGCCAGTGCCCAATGCGCCCAGTGTGGGGCGGGGGGATGCAGGGTGAGTTCTCCCGATGGAGCAAGCAGGGCAATGGCGTTCCTGCAGCATCTGTATTGGGACCAAAGCTCTTCAGCATGTTTAAGAATTATCTGGAGTGTTCAGGCGCCCAACTTTGGGGATTCTGCCAAATTATTTAGTTAAAGGATCACGAAGGGCTAGAAATGGATCTTCTCTCTGGGAGTCAGGCTGGCACGTTTGGTTCAATGGAAGCAAATGTGAAATGATGCACATTGGGGGGGGCGGTGTGGGGCGGGGGTGAAAACTGGGTGGGATCTGTGTTTGCGGAGGCTGACCAAGCTAGATGAAAAAGCCCACCTGCCATGTGGCTGCTGTGAAAAAGGCAAAAATAAAACTCAAGATTGTCCTGACGCGAATTCATGGTGTGGCCCCACTGAGAATACCGTGCTCAGTTCTGGTCACCACCCGGAAAAAGGAAGTGGAATCGGAGAACGTCTGGAAGGGGCAGCTCCCGTGAGGGAGGCGGCAAGAGACGGGACTGTTTTGCTTGGAAGAAAGGCAAGGGAGGCGATGGAGCCGGGCCGAAAATGCCCGCCGTGAGAGGGAGGCGCTTGCCGCTGCTGCTCGGCATGAGAGCCCAGGGGCCACGCTGTGGAAATGAGGCGGCCCAGGGCAGGGAGGGAAGGAACTCACTTCCCCGAGATGCAGTGGTGGCTTTCACTGGGCACACTGCTGGAGGGGGTGGCCATCGGCGGCCACGAGACTTGGTGGCCTCGCGCCTCGTCCAGCATCGGGAGTGCTGGGCAGGGCAGGTTGGCCCCGTGCGGGCAGAGTGCTGGGCGAGGCAGCCCTCGGCCCGGCCCAGCCTCCAGGCCCCTGAAGAGCTCCCCCAAATGAGGCAGAGAAGCAAAGCGGGTGCTGCTGAGGGGCCCCTCCCAGAGTCAGGCTGAGGGTCTGCCTGGGAGCCCCCGGAAGAGACCTGTGGGGCCACCCCCCCCGTGGCCAAGCCCCATGGCCACTGGCCCCCATCCTGGGCGGGTGCCCCCTGAGAGCCCCGCATGGCACCTGCCTCTGGGCAGAGGGGTCTGCACTGCACCCTGCGCTGCGGCCAGGAGACCGCAAGGGCAAGGCAGAGCAGCGAGGCCGCGTCCCGGGCCCCCCCAGAGGGCCTTGTCAGCACCCCCTTCCGGAGCAGCCCCGGGAGGACAGAGCGGGGCTGCCGTGTACCCCTGGCCAGGCGATGCAGGAGTGCGCCCAGCAGCCCTGGAACGCCTCCCCGCTCCCCAGTTTCCACCCCTGGGCACAGGGCTGCCTCTGTCCTAAAGCTGGGCTGAATCGGGCTGGGGCTGAGAAGCCACCATGTGCCCAAGCGCCCCGTCCCCAAGCGCTGCCTCCAGACCAACCCAGCGCCAGGAAGCTGCCCTCCGAAGCGACGTAGAGGCAGCAGGCGAGGTGGGAGAGCCCCCGTGACCTGCCACCGGAGGAGATGCCGCAGAGCATGGGGTCCGGCCTGGGGCGAGGCTGCTGCCTTCCCTCCTGGGCCGGGGAGCGAGTGCCCGGCCCCGGGACCCCGCCTGGCTGGCCTGCACTCTGCCCGCTGCAGCTGAAGGCATGGCTGGGGGCACTAATGGCGTCGGGTGGGGGGCAGGCCCATGAGGGGAGGGGCCGTCGCTGCTGGAGCAGCCCTGCATGGCCCTCGATGCTGGCCTGGAGACCGCCCTGGCAGTCTGACCAGAGAAAGGCTGCTCCCCATGTTTCTGGGGGTACTAAGCCCAGCAGCCAGGCCAGGGAGACCCCCAGAGCTGTCGGGAGCCTCTGCTCCCACCGTGCGTCCCAGCGCCACCATCACTGGGCAGGGGGCTCCATGCTCTGCACGGGGGGGGGGGTGGCTTTGCTCCCACGCGTTCCATTCCGTGCCGCCGACATCCTCTGCTGACCTGCCCCGATGCAGCCCCACGTCTGGCAGCTCTGGGGCGTGCCCGGCTTCCTTCCCTCCTGTGCAGAAACAGTATTTGGGGTTCCCAAGCGGAAGGTCCGTGGGGTGCAGCCCCTGAAGAGCCCCATGCCGCAGGTCTCCTGGGCCCAGGGTAGGGCCTTTTGACGCCTCCCACCACGGGCAGGCTCCAGACGGGTGAGCTTTGCCAAACTGCTGGCCCTAAAGCCGGGAATTACGGCCAGCTCCGTGCTCGGATGGCCTTGATAAATCAGTGGTCTCTGCTGAACGCAGTCGATTGAAATCCGATGAAGACAAATCTACTTGCTCCGCTGAGAAGCAAAACAGGCTCCCCGACTACCGAGGCGGGGGCGGGGGGGGGCAATCGCAGGGCCAAAGCAAAGCTCAACTGAGCCAGGATATCGTGCACTGGGCAGGGGGCTGCTGGGACCACAGCGGGGCAGGCCGGAAGGGGCCCGGTGCCGCATCGCGTGCAAAGGACCGGCTGCCCCCCACCGGCATCTCGCAGGAGGGCTGGGCAAGGCCCCCGTGAGCAGCCACTGGGGGATACAGGCCGTGCGAAGCTGCCGCAAACGGGGCCGTGCCCAACCTGGCGGCTGCCGTCCTGCGCCAGGAAACCGCTCTGCGGGGCATTGGCCCCATCTGTGCACACAGTTCTCCCCCTGGCTGGAGACACCTGGATCGAGGCGGCGGAAGAATCCAGACAGAGCAGCCGCACAAACCTGCCCAGGCCCCTGCCCCTTCCTCCGAGCTGCATCAGCTGAAACTCGGGCAGGGAGGTCGGGCCGGGGTGGCTAAACGGCTCTGACGCCACAGTCTGGTCCCGGGGGGGGGCAGTGATGCATGAAGTGGGTCTCGGAGGGTCCGCATCTCGCAACAGGCCCTGGACACCCCCAGGAAGCTCCGCTGGGCCACAAATGGAAGGCTGAAGAGATGGCCTTTATCTGCCTGCCGTCTGCACTGCCTTCAGCATGCCAGGTTGGGGACCGTCTGGACCCATGAGCCTCTGGGAACAGGCCGTGTGAACAGCCCCCCCCCGCCCCCGTGGCGCGGAAAGCCCCCATCAGCCTGGCTCTCGGCCAGTGGGGATCTGGCCACGCCAAAGCCAATCAGGCGAACCCTCCCATCCTCGGCGCCGCATCCCTACGTCCGTCTGGCAGAGGAAAAGAGGTCGAGAGCTGGCCAGCTTTCCGCGCGGACGTGTCGAGACAGCCCTGTGGTTGCCATGGAGGCCTGGGGGGTCGCCAAGCTGCAGGCCCAGCAGAAGGAGGCTGGGCCCCCCGTGCGGGAGCCGGGGCG